TACTACTACTAGTAGTAGTCGTCGTCGTAGTAGTAGTAGCAGTAGTAGTCGTAGTAGTAGCAGCAGCAGCAGTAGTATTATCAGTAGGATTGATTCCCTGACTTACTAACTCACTGACAGACTGGCAGGCTGACGGGTAGAGACAGACGGAGACAGACAGAGACATACAGGGAGACAGACAGACAGACACAGACAGACACGGACAGACACAGAGACAGACAGACACAGACAGACAGCCGGCCAGCCAGGCAGACAGACAGGCAGATGGAGAGCAAAATAGAGCGACAAACCCACGCGCACACGAATGCGTTCTTTGCAAACAACCCAGGTGCTGCTTTTGTGATGATTGCAAGTATCTAGTGCACCATGATACTGCTGCAGCAGCTTCAGTCAGTCTGTCCGTCTGCCTGTCAGTCTCACTGTCTTTCCGTCTGTTTGTCTCTCTTTGTCTCTGTATTTCTGTGTCTCTGTCTCTGTCTCTCTGTCTATTTGTCTATCTGTCTGTTTGTTTCTCTGTCTCTCTGTCCCTCTGTCTCTATCTGTCCCTCTCTCGCTCTCTGTCTCTCTGTCTCTCTGTCTCTCTCTCTGTCTCTCCCGCTGTCTCTCTCTCTGTCTCTCGCTCTCTCTCTCTGTGTTCTGTCTCACTCTCTCTATTCCGTCTCACTCTCTCTCTTTCATCTCTCTCTCTCTCTCTTTGCGTTCCGTCTCCCTCTCTGTGTTCCGTCTCTCTCTCTCTCTCTGTGTTCTGTCTCTCTCTCTCTTTGTCTGTCTCGCCGTCTCTCTCGCTCTCTCTGTTCTGTCTCACTCTTTCTCACTCTTTCGGTTCTGTCTCTCTCTCTCTCTCCATCTCTGTCTCCCTGTTCCGTCTCTCTTTCTCTCCCTGTTTGTCTCTGTTCAGTCTCTTTCTCTGTTCCCTGTTCTGTCTCTCTCTCTGTTCTGTCTCTCTCTCTCTCTCCCTGTCTCTCTCTCTCTCTCTCTCTCTCTCGCTCTTTCTTTCTGTCCCTCTCTCTCTGTGTCTGTCTCTCTCTCGCTCTCTCTCTCTCTCTGTCTTTGTCTCTGTGCCTGTCTCTCGCTCTGTGTCTGTCTCTCCCTCTCTCTCTCTCTGTCTGTCTTTCTCTCTTTGTCTGTCTTTCTCTCTTTGTCTGTCTTTCTCTCTGTGTCTGTGTCTGTCTCTCGCTCTGTGTCTGTCTCTCTCTCTCTCTCTCTCAGTGTCCTGTCTTGTCCTGTCTTGTCCTGTCTTGTCGTGTCCTGTCCTGTGCTGTGCTGTGCCGTCCTGTGCTGTCCCGCCCCGTCCCATCCCGTCCCATGCCGTCCTGTCCCGTTCCGTCCCTTGTCCTGTCCTCCCTGTCTGTGTCTGTCTCTGTCTGTCTCTTTGTCTGTGTTTCTCTCTCTCTGCCAAGTAGGGGGCTCACCGGTTTCCCACACGTACTCCTGCGAAATCCTAACATGCCCGACGTGCCGGAGGAAGCACGGCATAACTCCCAGCCCTCTGCAAAGCACTTGCATGATTGCGGTGACGTAGTGTTAGCTTGAGTTTTCGTCCCGTCCACGGAGACACGCATCAGTATCCAGAACATAGTCCTCAGTCCGATCAAGCTTCTCTGGGCTGAGGACTGATTGGGAAAACAGGTCAAGGCGTAAGGCCTTTGCTTGGGATGAAAGTCCAGGGTTGATGTTGTTTGTGCCGTGTAAACTACATGTCCGAGGCCCCAGCTCCGGTGTGTCATTTCCATGGCCTCAAGTTTACGGTTTGCAGTACCGTTGTCTTCCCCATGAGCCTCAATCGTTCGAAGTAGGAATGTAAGTCGATCGCACTTGTTTGGAGACACTGTGCGCATTGTATCCGTCCTGCTACCCAAGGAACCTCTCATGGGTCTCGCCAGATGTGCCTGGGAGCTATGCTCGTCCGTGTGCATGCATACCAGAGTTACAACATTTGAAAATTTCGATTTCGCGTCCGTCTTGCCGCCGCGCATGAACCAGAGCCTTGAGTCAATCTTCGCCGGGCCTGCCATGACATGCCATAGGCTGCCCCTGGTCTCGCGACATCCTGAGCTTTTGTCTGAGGTGATCGGGGATGTAACATTTTTCCGCGTCTACTTCTCCACCACTGGGACCACCCAAAGCAGGGGACTCTATGATTTGCATTCAGCTTGAATGTTTTGTCCGCAGACAAACTTCGAGTTCATCATGTCTCGAGGCGGCGACACGACAGCCCTTCTGGAAGAGGTCGATGTTGCTCTGCCGCAGCCAGCGCATTGGACTAACTAAAGGATGCCCAGGAATGCCGATAGCCCTGAGTTTCCAGACGGTTTCCCGTCAAGTTGGCTCGAGGTCAGCTTGAGCGACAAGGTGATAGCGCCTGACACACCACTTCAGCCAAGAACTCAGAGACCGTGCCGCAGGTGGCGGCCGAGACTTTCGCAACCTCGCTCTGCTCTGCAATTCCGCGAGGTCCTACGCTTTCTTGGCCATGACCTCCAATTCCCCTTCCACTGAACAACGGACGCCCTCGACCTGGCTCATTTACGATGAATTTGCCAGTGCTTCCAAGCTGCAAGACGACAGTGCTTAAGCCGCGTCGCATGAAAACAGCTTGCCGAAGTAAGACGAGGTTGCCAACGTGAGTTTCGTGGATCTGGACCTCGATGAAACCCAGCTTGGTGGGACCATCGAATGGGACCCGCCTGTGCGCACAGCGGCCGTGTCTGTTCCTTCGTCAGCAGCCGTTCAGAAACAGCTCGCGCAAGAGGGCGCGGTACTGGCTGCGGTGCTCTCTATCCATCAGTCGTTTGCTAGTGAATCTATGTGCCTTGTCTCTGCCTATATAGGCTAGGCTATACGTTTACCGAGCACGCGCGCGCGCACGTGCATGCATTCCGGCGACAGTCACGCGCGCCCACACATACTGACACACGCGAGTGCACGCACACACACGGGCGCACACTAGCTGGCGCCCCCCCTACCAGACATGCAGATACAGAGAAAGTCACTCGCGCACAATCATGGGTGCGCGCACCCCTGTCGGATAAGGCCTATCTGGCCTACTTGGCGCAAGATGGAACCGGCGCCTTTAAGTCTCAGTGCCTTGCCAACAGTTGGAGAGGCTTTCGTCTTCCCCGGTATCGTGAGTGCTTGTCTCTCTGCTCGGCGATTCAATCACTCGCTGGCGCACCCTAGTACGCCAAGATGCATGATCTCGGCTTATTCTGGCATAAGTTAACTCGGGCACCTGGAGCTTTCACCCAGCCGGCCCACCCGCGCCGGTCATAGCTTCATCGTGTATAGCTAAGAGCCCGGAAACGCAGATACTGGAGCCGCCACCCGATCTCACCGGTCAGGACCCGGCCTTGTCCGCTCTCTTTCTTCATACCCAGACACTGCATCTAAATTCTAAGCGCAACAGCTACATGAAAGGACTTATAACAAGTGTTTAGGCTTATGGCTCAGGGTTGAGGGAGGGCCCCCAAAAGGTATCTAGGGCCTTCTCCAAGGGCTCTACCACCGGGGTGCTGAATAAATGGGCGTCTCGAGTCTGTGGGATGATCCACGATGGCCCTGCGTGAGACGACGCTTTTCTTGAGTTTATTTACTATCTTCGCGTCACAACAGGATTGGCCATGCATCCCCTCTCCTTGGAGCTGTCGGGGCTGGATCGCAAGTCGGTTAATGGGACAAGTCGGCATGTTGTTGAAGAGCTCCACTCTTCCAGCGAGGATTGTTGAAGGGGTTGAGCTGGCAGAGAACTACAGGGAGTTCATCACTGACCATGGTGGATGTCTCGCTGCGCAATGGACTATGCAGCTTCTGTCGGTCGAGCTTGACATTTCCCGTTCTCAAACAGGCGCCGACGGGACCCAAGCGCTGGGGGTTGATGGCATGATGTCTCTGTTCGCTATGTTTTTCCGTGGCGACACGGCCTGCGTGATGCTTTTTGATCAGCTTCTGTGGGGCACTGGTGCTGCTTGGCCTTCTGTGGCCGCTGCTGGCTGGAGCACCTTCGCCTTGCTCGGGAGGCTGTCCAAGGCTTTGCAGATCTATCTGGACATGCAAGGCGAACCATCAGGCGAAGCTTTGCAGGGCTTTCTATTGACGGGGGAGAGGCGCAACATCGCGGAGCGGCTGCCCAAGCTCCTCCAGAGCTCTCTTTCCAGCTTACGGGCCATAAATGTGTCTGCACCATGGAAAGTTCGCGCAAGAGCTGCAGCGCAGGCAGAAGATCTGTTGCGAGAATGGTCGCGTGAAGCTCTCTACCAAGGATTGCCACCTGTGCAGGTGGTGGCATTGTTGTTGGTCGACATTCGGTCAACAGAACTCTGGCAGCTACTGGACAGAATGCTGTTGCCACACAGTGTGAGCCTTTGTATGCCGAAGCTGTTTGGTTGGGCATCGTTTGCTCATCGTGGCCGCTGCACGGCAAGACATTGTTCAAAATTCTGGGACCTGGATGAGGCCTATGTTGCAAGCACTTCGAATGCGAATGCTGCTAACCAAAGCTCTGCCAGAGACTGGGTCTGTGTTGAAAAACTTAGGCAAGCTTGGCATAGCTTTCTATTAGATTGAGCGGCTTCCAAGAACAGCCCAGGAGACTTGACTATTTTCCATGTTGGTCTGGACCGTGACTTCCTCAGCGACAGCATCCGCAGCGAGTGTTTGGCAAGATGTTCAAAGTCCGTAATTCGCACTTTGAGACATTTGTCAGGAGCGTTGGTGGGGTTTGTAGCAAAGACGCCCTTGACATACGTGGATGCAGGGGCAGCCATGGGGGAGTGTATGCTGTCGGCGGCGTTCATGCTGCCGGAAGGTCGCTTAAGGGGTTTGGCATTCGAGGCGCTGCCCACGTTTGTGAACCGAATCAGGGAGACCCTGCATATCAATGGTATCACTGCTTCTGCGAGCCACAACGGCACGCACGTGGTGGTCAAGAATGTGGCTTTGGGCTCTGCGCGTTCCAAGATGCTAGGGTCATTCTCCCACGCAGGCTTCGTATCTGGGACCTTCGGGATGACGACATGGGGCCGTGTTTTTGTGAGAAGCTCTACCCTGGATCATGAAGTTGCCTCGCATCTGGGTCGGAAGGAGACTATTGATCTACTGCACATCTTCGTAAACTCCTGGGAGCCAGCCGTGCTCAAGGGCGCCAGGCAACTTCTACTGGATCGCCGTGTGGGCTGTGTGCTTGTGCAAGCATCTCGGTGTCAACGTGCGATAAAGTAGTTTTATGTACCTATTCATGAATAGTTGTAGGACCCCTGAAAGATCAACCAGGTGTATGACCGGGAGACAATGTCGTCTATCGTCAAGGGACTTCTCCGGACGGCTGGCTACACTGTGAAAAACCACAGTCTCACATACGTGGCTGGTAGCCCTTCAGATGCCCTCGCACTTTCAGAGGGGACACCATGTGACCAGCGCTTCTTTCAGTGGTGGCTGCGTGGAAAGAAGTTGCCTTTCGCGATGATGTCCAGTCGGGGTTCGTTCATTTATCTCCGTGCCTTTCTCGTCCAGGCTCCGCTCCAGTGCAGGACACCTCTTGCATAGCCCGAGAAACCCTTCAGCCGCAAACCTCAAGCAGCCCAAACCCATGTCCTAATCCAAATTCTAGGCAGGCCCTACGTTGTGACCGCGTCGGTAAGGATTGAAGACGGGGTGCCGCATGTGGACGGGGCCACCGTTCTGGACATGCCGACCGACACGCCGGTTGGATCCAACACCGACGCATGGTTTATTACATATATGTGTCGTGTCTACGAATTCAGCATTTCGGCTACCTCAGTCTGATGCTAGTTAAAACAGTACCAGCCAGTAGTTTTCGAAATTGCACACGTGGCAGTGGCAGTGGCAAGAGTTATCTGAAGAGCACAATTTGTGACACACCTGAAGAGCAGTGGCATTGACGTTCTGCTTTCGAACTCCGATTGAGTCGAGAGTTTTGCGAAATTGCGTACAGATGCAGATCAGACTCTTGTCACTAAGCTTTTCAAAGGTTCATGACCATATGCGAAGAACACTGATAAGTTACACAGAACATGCATCACTTTGTTTTTGACAAACAGCCACAATTAAGTTCATTAGGCCAAGATGACTTGGATGCTGCTAGTTTGCTATGCCTCTGCTGAACTTCATTCAGCATATGCCAGAGTACTCCTGTGCTGGCATAAATGCAAGACAAGTTCTTCCATGTCTGCAGCGTCCCATCACCAGTTTTACTGCTGCTTTTGCACTATAATACTACGTCAGCTTTACAGCTTGGGAAGATGTTTTCGGATGATATTACGACGTCCGGTTTCTAGCTCTCCAACTTCTCTTTGCATGGCTTGGTATCCGATGACCGCACTGGACATGTCCCTGCTGACAATATGGCGACAGTCTTCCAGCAGTGTGTGAGCGGAACATGCTGTTCCGTAGCCAGCGTCAGTTCAGATGCATGTTCTGTATTTTTGATGTTTTGCACCACGACATCAAAGCTTTCACGATCACCCCCTCGGGCCAACAAGGACATCGTGGTTTACACGCGCTCCACGTTGGTAGAGCCCCCAAGCTGAACAGCTAAGACCCAGGGGTCAGACTACGTTTAAGCCCCAGGGCGGATTCAGGGGGTTGGGGAACTGCGGATTCAGGCTGCGCATTTGGTCCATCTGGTGCCCGGTTCAGATTCAGTTTTCCGCAGACTTTGCACCCTGCAGCCCCAAGCCTCATCCTCAGATTCTGGCTGGGAGGCCAAAATCACAAACGACGAACACCACTATTTGGATGACCGGTGACTGCCATTGCGTGCTTGTAACTCAGACTCAGACTACAAGCCCGCACCCCTAGATCCAACTCGGCTGCAGTATTACAGGATCTGTCGTGTCAAACTGACCTTGCGCAGATGATACCACCCGGGCACTGAGAGAATCAATACATGAAATCATGAGATGCCTGCCGGCAACGACTACCACCGGCATGATGCTGGTGGTGATCATGGTGACAACCAGAAGCGACAGCAACTATACTGGTATGTAGTGGTGATTGTTACATTGGCAGAGCTGTGATGGCGATGGTGGTCTTGGTATCTGGAACCTTGATGACGTTGATGATAATATTGCTGACGGTGATGCTCCTTTTTCGGTTCCGAGCAAAACTAACTTTCGACGAGGCAGACCACGCCGGCATCCATTTCGTTCTCGGACACCGTGGCCAGTGTTTCGGGTCTTGCTCGGCCCTCGGTGACGGCTTCGGGGCTCTATCCCACAATTCAAAGCCCTTAACTCGAAGCTTCGACACCCTCTGCCGGGTGTACCTGAACCCCATGCCGAGCAGGCTTTTCCAGACCTGGACCTCGATGCCGGTGAGGTAGGAGGGACCTTGGACTGGCTGGGGACTGAGTATCTCCACATGCGAGTGCTTGATTGCCAGAGCTATTCCCACATTGAAGTTATGACCACCATTATCCTTTTGGGTATTCTTTTCGGGTGTTTCAGTCTGAAGTATTTGCTTAAAGTTTTTGTTATGCAACTCAGGGGTGACGGTCTGGAGTTTCCGAAGATCTCGCTTTGCGGCTCTTTCCCCGTGACTCTTGGGCACTCCGTGAGAACGTAGTATTGTTTTGGAAACCGTCCGCGACGCTACACCGACCCCGCCGGTTTAGACATTTTTGCGCAAAGACCTCCTGGCCCTGGAACACTATGACACCGACCATACGAAATCGTTCGTGTGCATACGGACGGATGAGAGCTCCCCCTGAGGCTGTACACGAACTTAGCCCTCACCCAAGGTCGCCCCCGGCCGAGATGACTTACGTCAGCGCCTTCAACGCCTCTTGCCATCATCCTTGATGGCAGCTTTTGCTAAACGGTTTCGACTCTTGAGATTTGCGCCCTTACTTCATTTATTCGTCAGTCTTTGTGTTTGTTCGGGCAGGTTTCGTGTCAGATCTCTCTCCGCTTTTCGACTCGCATGTTTTCAATTGCCAACTGCCTGCCAACCAGCAATACTTTCTCTGTCAACGGGGTGATTCCGACTACTTGTGACCGCGATTGCCTCCGCTACTTGTTCGAGGTCTACTTTGCCGTGGATGCAGTGGGAACCAACCGGTCTCAGCTGGCCTCCCTTGATGCAGCCCGGCATGGTGATGCTTTTCGGGGTAATCCCGGTTTCGCCAAGAGATTCCGAGCAGCAACCTGAGCATGTTTATCTTCTCAACTCATCATATAGCAGACCAGCAAGCACCTGACAAGTCCGAAGCATGTCCGGATCTGTGCAGACTCAGCCTGAGATGCTCTGCAGGTCGCAGGCATCAATTACGATGCCAACACGAGCAATATGCACCCTGGCAGCAGTGCTGGCATGGAGCGCACACCATTTTCACAAGGGTTCCGAGCTGGGCACAGGAAACATCTGAAGCAAGGTTCGATGTGCCTGCCAACTCAGACTTCACCGACTTCTCGCACTGTGCCCCGGCCTGGCCGATGATGCTTGCAACACGTAGGAACCGAGTTGCTTTTCAGGCCACTTTCGTCGCAGGAGACCAGCAACAAACCCCAAAAGCCCGAAGGACACAAGCCCCAGTCCACACTGACGAGGGACAGCACAAGCCGTTTTCAGCTGGCTTCAACTTTCCTCGAGGCGTTGTCTACACCAGTTCCACATTGGCAGAGCAGTCGACGCCTGCCTTCCTTGCTGTGCAGGAATCCGGAAGTTTGCGCGTGTTTAGGGGCTGGAGAGTTGCTACAGGAAGGACTTGTGTGGAACAACGGTGTGGTCCCACGTCGTAGCCATAGCAGCAATAAGTTTGATTCACAATCTGCTTACCCAGATTGAGAAATCGTGTTTCTTGGGAAGAGCCTATCGGATGAAGAGGCAGTCTTCTCGAGTTTTTCGTACATTTGCCCCTTCGAAACCTTCAGCCCCATGCTGTACTCACACACATACCAGACGACCAAAGCCAGAGCCTTGGCCAGGACTACGATGGTTCCGTTAGCAACATTCAGTTCAGTGACAAGGCCCGGGACTTGCTTCGACCTCTCCGAAGCAGAACATTTCCCTGCAGCAAGTGAGGCAACTAACTAGTCGGCTGTTAGTTTCAGGAAGTTTCACTCGTGGTACAGCCGTCCCGGTCCGAACATTCTGGAGGTGTGTATTCTTCACGTTGCCCATGCATAGATCCGCTGTCCGGATGATCTTATCAATTGAGTGTGTCGCTGACAGGACCTGGATTTGTCTGAAGTCGGCGGTGACGTGCCGCTTTGTTTGCAATCTGATGGGGTCCCCATCCTCCTTTTGGGCGCCTGTGGTGCCGTAGAGGTAACTTTCCAGCTAGCTTCGAACGCTGATTGTTGAAACGTGGTTCTTAGGCATTGGCAGCCTCCCTCCCTGCTGGATGGGCGCTTGGCCTCCTACAGCCGAAGCCTCATTGTGGGAGAACCGGGGACGGCCTTGGTTTGTTTGGGCCAGGCAGGTCCCAGGAGACAGGAGCTTCGATCCCAGAACTTGGGAAAAACTGAGGCATCTACCTGTCCTCCACGACGGGGCACACGAAATCCCTTGTCGGCTCACGCCCTGTTGGCACCAACACAGCACCTTGGCTTGTGAAGCACATGCTTTTTCCACTCATGTGACTCATGTGTTTGGTAGTTTTATCGAAAGTAACATGTTGTGATTCCAGAGCAAGAGGCATGTCGTATAGCATCGGTTGGACGCTTTTCGTTAAGTCATGGGTGGTCCTCCAGCGGATGGGGATCTCGGGGGATTCACACCATTGGAGGCCCAGCATGTGCAGAGATTAGACCCATTATCAATGAAGCAACGCTCTGCCGTCGACGTCCAATCCCCAAGCCCTACGGCCCGGAACGGGTCGAACTCGCTGCATTGTGCAATGTATAAACCCCAAGCCTGTGCCAGCTAAGTGCTATACCTTCGGGCCACAGCGGTAGGAGAAGCACAGTCTAGGGTTTTTTGGTATTCGATTTTGAAGCCTCGCATCTTGAAGCTTCTCACGACTCCGAGGTGTTGCTGGCAGCAGACACGCCGCGCAGTGATTTCGACTACATCCTTGTCTCTGCAGCATCCTCCCTCGAGGTGAGTCGTTAGGGTTTTTGAGGAGCTGCGTGAAGGACCCAAAACGTCACAAGCCGTCGCTTCTCCGGCTAGGAGCAGACAACTCCGGTATCGGCACTGTTGTTTGACACGGATGGAACGGCCACCCTGCAGCAGTAACGGGCCGACTCGTTTCGCTCTTTGTTACGCTGGATCGTGGTTTGTATTTTGATCGTTCCGGGCTTGAAGGCTGCGGCTTTGGGATGTGGGTAGCAGGGATTCCATGTCAATGTGGTAACGGCGCTGAGTTCTCTTTCGAGAGAGTCATCCGGTCTTTGTGCGGAGTCCCCGGAGACCATGCGGACACAGGGTGCGAATGATTTTCAGCGGTTGTTGCCTTTCAATGTCATGTAGTTTGTCCGCGGGGAGATTCAAGCTCGGCATTCTCCTGGGAAGAAGGACATTGACTCTGCACAACCATCCTTGTGCACTGATACACTACAGTGCAAGCCTGTGTGCCCCTCCCGAGGAAGAACAATCAACTAGTTCGGCTTTCGCAGATTCCTCGGAGCATATAACATCGACGAACAATTTCGAATGCAGAGCCAAACCGGCGAGATCCATGTCAGTTTGTAAGCCAGGTTGAGAATTACGTACTTTGCGCAGCCCGCCAACGACTTGTGTCACCAGCCGCAGGTGCGCAACCTCACGTTCCCAGACTGCGACCTTGATGCCTTTGAGCTGGGAGGCACTTCCCGAGACGGATGTCAAGGTCGCCTTAAATGTAAATGTAGTCTTCTCTGCAATCTTCCAACATTCCAGGATGATGGTCATGGGAGTGGTGGTGGGGGTGGCGGAAGGGGCAGTCGCCGTGGCCGCGGCGGCATCAGCGGTGTGGTGGTTTGTGGTGGCAGTGGCGGTGGTGGTGGCCGCGGGGCGGTGTTGATGTTGATGGTAAGGCAATGACTGCAATGATGATAATGATATATAATGAGGAAGAAGAAGATGAGGATGACTTCTCCGATTCTGTCTCTCTCTCTCTCTCTTTCTTTCTCCTTCGGTGATTTGTCAGATCTGGATGCCCCTCATGATGGTACGGGTTTGAGGTTAAAAGTGAGAACTGAGAGCTGGAAAGAATTACTGGTGCCAGACTCGCGCCAGGTTATCTGACCTGGGCAGCACCTGCCAACACCACAGAGGTTGGAGTCATCCATTCTGAGGTAGGAGTTTGATCATTTGCGGTCGCGGGTGGGATGTGTATGAGCTTATTTTCCAGTTGCAGCTTTGGTCTCAGATTGCCCAAGCTTACTGTGCTGTTTGGTCCATGGGCCCAAAACCTAAAGAGTCCTCGCAATCTGCGGGCTCACCGAGACTTTTGGGAGCCGAACGAGCGTGGAGAACAGCGTGTGAGAGTCACAGGTTTGGAAGGCACAAGCCCGCAGAGCTGAGAATCCCGAATGCGTGCAGCATCATACAGTCTTGCAGCGAGCTTCAATCCTGAAGGCAATACGCTTTAGGTGAGAGGCCAGAGTCCAGGTATCGCACTACTTCGTCTACCTCGGCATGGATGGCGTCCAAAGCCTACAAGGGCGCAGGGTCGTGATGCATTTATTTCGTCGAGGTCTCGTTTCGAATTTTGGCATTGAGCGCAAGCATTTTCTCGAAACTTAAACGTACATGTTCCGCTTCTCTCACAAAATGATTCTACTGGTATTGAGCGTGGGGTACGACGTAGGCTTTGGAAGACGTATGCGGACTCGTGTACGGAAGAGCCGACCACATACCCAGACGATGCAGCACATGTGTTTGCAGCCTACCTGCTTGCAGCTGCAGACCGCATGACAAGCCCCGCATCATGAGCTGGAACCAAATCGGAAAGCCCTGAGTGCACCGAAAGGCCTCCCAATCAGGAAACGCCCGCAAACCCTCGGAGAGTTTTGGCAATTCCGCTCAGTCTCCGGGCTGCCCGGGCTATGCTGACAGTCGCACGGCAGATGCTGCCTCTCTACCCGGAGCTTCGTCTGAGTCTGAGGAGATTAGGGCTTGAGCACGATTGAGGAGAAAGGATCTCGACTTCTTGGTTCAGGAGTCAGAATTGTCGACCGACGGTCAGCTGCCTCAGAATCCATCCTGAAGCGAAGGTGCTTCAGGGCCACATCTGAGATGCTTCCGTGTGCTAGATTCTAGCGCATCTTGAGACACGGAGGTTTGTGGGACCGCGTTCGAAAAACCTTGGAAGATCTTGGAAGGAAAAAGCGGGTCTGTAAGAATCCACTCTGGCAAAACAAGGACATCGAGACACGGCCGTTGAGGGTCCCTGGTGCCGATGGCTGTATCAGATCAATGCGAGACTCAGCTGAAAGTGTGTTATTGATTATTGTCAGCAGTCCAAGCGATATGAACGACTTGGAGCTTGGCTCTGACGATCTCTGACGTACTATGCTTGTAGGGAATCGGAAGTCCCGGCTTTCTGGCCTCGCGTGCGATGCTCCTTCAGGCTGGGCGATGCCAACAGCACTCTAGCTGCTGATTCTTGGCGTCACCAGGTCACCGCTTGACCTGTCCTGTTCTGGTGCCAAATAATTTGACAGCTTTGGGTTCCATGAGAACTGCTCCTGAAGCAGCTGCTTCGCACCTTGCGCTGACATGTAGCTTTCAGGATCCAGAGAGTTGAAAGGTTGATGCTGGTGCTGGGTTTTCGGCGGAAAGGACACAGTGATGCAAAACTGGACGCACTGGCTCGTCTACACTTCGTCTTCGCTGGCAGAGCAGACCACGCCTGCAACGGTGGAGATCCAGGCGGGTGCGCAACTCTCTGTGGCAGCTTCCTTGATGCAGACACCGCTTTGCTCATGGGCAGGATGTGCAGGGCAGTTCTGGGGCTTTCTCCGGCAGCTTTCAATGATAGTCAGACCTTTATATCATGAACTCCCTAAGCCGCTCACAGGGACTATCCTGATGGCCACCAGATGCCTTCTGCACAGGATGACAATGCCACGGTGGGCACGATCAGTTTCGTGGGTACTGACTTGCCGCTCGCACCAGTTTGGACTCACACTCTGCCGTCAACACGTCAGGGCAGGAGTGTTCGCTCATCCCCACCGTGAACCAAGCACCGCCCAAAACTCCCCTGTTCCCAGGAACATGGACGTGGTCAACGGGAGCCTTGTGTGGGGGCCGCCTGCTGAGCCGGCCTGCCTGGAATCGATTGTGTTCCGGTTGCACTCGGCCCTATTGGGGATCCTCCAAATACGAAGAGGCGTATGTGAAGTAGCAGACATAAGCTAATTCAATATAATCAGCCCCTGCGAGAAGTCATCTGTCTAATCGCTTCCCCCTAATATTAAACACCACCCTCCCTAATTTTTTAAAACTCGGATCCTGGGGTTTGGTTTTAATATTAGGGGGGGTTTCGGGGTCACGCACCACGACCGCTTCCCACGCAGCTCCAAGCCCTGAACCCCCAATTGCTTTAGCCAAAACCTCTTCATTAGCCCTGCAGCCCTAGTGTAGACAGCCAGCCCCGAATAACAACCTCCCCAAATATTAAAACTCCAAGCCCTGAACCCCCCAATTACTTTAGCCAAGCCTCTTTGTCAATTAACCCTGAAGCCCTTAAGCCCTGAGCCCTTAACCCCGAAAGCCCTAGTCCTTTGGTTTAGTACCACTGTAGTCTTGGCTCTATTAAAACTCATACAATCCCTAGGCCCCCCCTAATGTTTTTAATTAAAATTCAACTGCGGGCCCGAAACCGCGAACTCCCGGGGCCCGGCAGTTTAAATATTGGGGGGGTGTTTAATAATAGGGGGAAGCGATTATTCTCGTCTGTTTTTCGGAGAGGCGGATTAGTCTTGCTGTAGATTCGTGATGCCCAAAAATGCCCACAGAGACCTTGTAGATTTCGGAGAATTTGCCGAACTCGCAGCCAGTCTTTGTAAGGTCATCTACATCGCGGAGGACAACATGGGCTCGGCAAGGCTCCCTCGAAAACTGAGAGCTGCCTGGGGATCCCCCACTTCTTGGCCGGTCTGAGTGCATTGTTGGTGTCTCTGCCGGTATGGCCCGCGGGCCAGCCCCTTGGTACTTGTAACAACACGCGAATCTGCCCTTGCAAGCTCTGATGCCTCCGAGCCCGAGCAAGGCGCCAACAATTTTGAGGCGAAGGCTGAAAGTGAGAACGGCAGCACCGGCAGGTCCCAACTGGGCGAAGTGGCAGCCGGCATTGATCAGCTACAGGCCGCCCCCTCGGTTGGGGGTTCTGTGAGGCCGAGCCCAAGCTCCCTCCCAAGCGTGCCCTGTCAGGTTGTTGAGGGCGATGCCTACGGAGAGCCTTGGTGAAACCTTTTTCAAGTTACTGCTTTGGGATGCTTTCTGTGGGGCCAGCATGCTCCATGCACCCCTAAGTCTAAAGCCTTGGCCCTAAGCCTTATAAATGCCCTCCATGCGTTTCCTGCCCTCAGAACTTCACCCACTTCGTGGTGTACACGAAGTCCAGCTTTGCTGAGCAGACGACGCCGAACAGCCTGTCCTTCGAAGAAGCTGTCGCGAAGTATCAGGCAGGCGCCCTTGTCACCAGCATGCATGGTGAGCGCTTGGCGCTTGATGCTTTATTATGTATGTCGATGGCAACGATGGTTCTGCTGGTAATGCTCGTTTTGCTGAACAGTGCGATGATATTACCTGTGCGGAGTGCCGAGCCTGTCCGCGGCCGAACCCTTGTTGCCCTGAGTCCCCAAAGTCCCCTGCTCCCTGTCCCTCAGCCGAACGAGTCTGGAAGCAAGACCTTATGCTTGGAACTGTGCAGGTGTCTAGCCCAGCCTTCACCGACGAGGACTTGGACCAAGGCAGCCGAGCAAGCTGTGACAGCTGTGATGCTGGAAGCAGCACAGTGAGAATGAGAGGTATGAGGGGGATGACGCTGTGATCATGGCGACGGCCGTTCGAATGACGTTGATGATGAGGATGAGAAAGGTGATGACGAACATTGTCGTCAGTGGTAATCGCGTCGTAATGATCTGAATGCTAACCAAGCTTGATTTTGCAGATTTCTAGTTCGCTTCCTCCTTCTGGTAAGAGAAGCAATCCGTCTATAACAACTACGGCAGGCGCTGGTCGGGAACTGCAGGCTGCAGCAACTGCAAGAATCGTAAGACTGCAGGGTCAGTGGCCTGCAGAAAACGGGTTTAGAATAACGCGCTGACCCTTGGGAACATACAATTGGTACCTACACTTGCTAAAACTTCTCAAGACAATAATAGTTGGTGAATGTACACGCGCATAGTGTATATATATATATACACACATACATACACACATACATACATACATACATACGTACATACATACGTACATACATACGTACATACATACATACATACATACATACATATGACATATATGCATCATATATATATATATCTGCGTACATATATCTCCTTATATAGATGTTTTTATCCCCCATCCAAAATTGGCAGACACTATGCCGGCACTGTCAACCTCCTGGGGTCAGGGATGCGGCAACCCAAATTCCAGAAATGCCAACAAAATTTCGGCCTGACTTACGGCACTCGGCTGTGTGTATATACATATATATATATATATTGATATAGATATGCTCACCCCCCGGCGACAGACCATCGCAGTGAAAATATGGACTAATGTAGTCGTGGCTAAATTCAAAGAAGCTTAAGGGTACTCTCATTGGGTTGAAAATTTCATTTATATCTCGAGACTACCGTTGTGTCAGCAGTTTACTGAACCTTGGCTTGTTTAAGACCCTCAGCCTTGTACAATCAGGAAAATCGCATTTACCCTCGATGGCTAATCAATAACCTCTGCGTGAAGTCGTTACTATGGGAAGAGCTCATTGATGTTTTAGTGTGGTGTTTAAGCACGGAGCTTGCCTCTCTGTCTACGATTGAAGATTTCATTCTGGGAACACCAGAACTGCTCGAAAATTGCTAAGCCACGCCTGCACAATTACAGCAGTATTTCGAGCAAACCAGTAAACCCAATATGCTGGCTTTAGTTATGCACTGATGTCGACTAATGCTTTGTGTTTATTTGAGGGTCTCTAATTGCTGTCTTTCATGTCTGTATGGCTTTAAGAGGTGCTTATAGTACAGACCTCTGATCAGTACAATAACAGCAGTTCGCAACAGACATGACAGAAACATTATGCAGCGTTATGGAGACCATCAAGGAAGGGCTGCTTACCTTCCGATGGGTATTAACTGAACGCTGGCTATATGTCAGTTATACAAGGTCAAAACTGCGCAAAATGGGCACTGCAGATTAGTTGCTGTAGTATTCACTTGTAGTTGAATGCAATCGGTCAATATGAGTCAATATGCCAAGATCAGTCAGGTTCTGAGTATATGCTGATGAAACTTGGGAAATCTTTATATCAACATGAAATGCTAAGCGACTATCACATAGCTAGCACTTCAAGCACGTTTTGTTACATAATGTTAACTAGGAGTAATTAGTACTTGCCTAAACCAATATTCTGAGTGTCAATGAGGCATTAGGCGAACGTCTCGCAAGTACCAGGTGCGCAGGAAGCACAGGCCAAATGCTGCGTACTATAGTTCTAAAACCACAGTAATTCAACATTAGATGTTCAAGTTAACTGTGTTTTATTCAACATGAGCTATATCACATCTCTTGCCGTAGTAAGACTCGTTTTCGTTGTTATCAAGCTGGACATGCAGTTTTGGTGCAGCATACACAAGTGTCCAACACCTAATCGGCATGGCGAACGTGACATTCAGTGCCGTTTACGAGTTTCCCGATCTTATAATCTTATTGTAGGGCCTGGCGGCATGGGCCGGCATGGCCGTCGCCGCTCCGATTGTCACCCCGAAGATGCAGCCAACAGTTTGG